GGGTCCACACTGAGGCCGCTTCATGCCCCCACCACCACCCCTGGAGCGGGGAGGAGGAGGTGTTGCCAGTGGCGCAGTCAGTGGTGCTCTTACCCATCAGATGACTCACGGAGTCATCCTTGACTGCGTCCAGGCCCTTCTTGTCCCAGACATAGCGGGCGCCCTGCCAGGGAGAACAGAGCTGGTGCCAACGGCACATTCCCCGTGCCTGGCATCACGTCTCCTCCACCTCGGCGCGGTACCTGCTTGGCACTCAGCCATTCGGCAATCAAGTCCAGGCCATCCTTCCTGGTGCCATTCTGAGCTGGGTCCTCCGGGTACTCAGGGTCTGGGGTCCGCTTGGGGGTCATGTACATCCGCCCGCCACCCAGGATCACCTGCCAGGGAGCGGGGAGCTGCCACTGGCACCGCCACAGCCCTGCAGCTCAGCAGACCCTCCCAACGTCCCTGGTGTCCCCTCCCTCCCACGCCTGCTCCCTGGCTCACGTTGATGTCCGTATTGTGCACCAGCTGATAGGCGATGTCCTTGCAACCATCCCGCAATGCCTCCTTGGGCATGTTGGCGTCGGCGTACCAGCTCCGGCTGGCCGAGTGGGCATAGGCTGCCCCAGGGGACGCATGCTGCACCCGCGTGGTCGTCACAATACCTACCGACTTGCCTGCAGCGTGGGCAAGGGTTTACGGGGCGACCGTCCAGCCCTGCACGGCATGGGATGGCCGTGCCCTGCCAGGCTCTTTGACAGGGTTGCCCACTGCCCCGTACCTGCCAGCCTGGCCCGGTGCAGGATGGAGTCCACCTCGTTGCCAAAGGCGGTGCGGCACTTGCCTTAGACGGCCGCCCCGCTCAGCCCCAGCGTCTTGGCATTGGCCTTCACCCCACAGAGGTAGGCTGTGCCCGTGCCAGCGCTATCGGGCACCTGTCGGTCGATGGTGTAGGTCTGGAAGCAAGCGGGGGCCAGTGGGGTTTCGAGCAGGGGTAGGGTGGCCACCCCCCAGCGCTGCCCCACGCACCTTGGCCAGGGCCACGTGGGGAAAGGTCTCCATGGCCAAGACGCTCTCCTCACCCGAGCCGCCGGCCAGCTGTCCCTTGTAGATCCGAGCCGCTGACACCGTGGGCAGCCCCATGCCTGCAGGCATGGCAGAGCCACAGGGTGGCAAGGGGCCAGGACCAGGGACGGTCCTGCCCTCCCCAGGCACTGCCTGGGGCTGGCCAGAGAGGAAGGCACCTGCACCAGCCCCATCTTCTCACCAGCCCCGCCCTCTCGCTGGTGTGGG